CCACGAAAGCCAAAAATGTGAAATTTAAGATTTTTACCAACTTCTGCAGTCTGAACTTGACCAAACATGCAATCAAGATGTATTGACTATTATTGGTAATTGGACTGTGAGAGGTGGAAACAAAGAAGAGTCACCGGTAGCTGGAATATGTGGCTTTAGTGATAGAAAAAACCCTGGAGGTTGCATGACAGAATTTGGCAAGACCAATGACTAATTCATTGCAAATACAATTCCTTAGTAGGTCACAATGTCATGGAACAGCATTGTAGGTCAGGTACTGATGAAGTGCATTACACACGCACAGATGCATTGCCTTCACATAGCAGGGACCAGTGGAGGGCATGTGTTATTATCGCCAATGACTAGGAGTGTCTGACCGCACCAATGCCTCGTGGGCTTGAAGATGACGACAAATGTCATAAGAACATAGGCCTTGGGCTGAACCTGGAAATAAAGGTGAATTTTTTGTATGTAAATACTGACAAAAGAGTTTTAATTTTCCTAGAATCCAGAGTTCTGGCTTTCATAGAAGTAAGGGAATCCACATAGGCCGTTGCCCTTAGGTCTTCTGAACATTTAGCCTTGAAAAACCTGGTTCCTAAAAGCCACCTTTGCATCAAATAATGGACAGTTTTGGGAAAGAGACTCTAAGGGTCAGACTGGGACCTATGTTTAGGGTAAATTAGTAATCATTTTAATTTTCCTCAAAATGATGCTCTATGAAAATTCTTCCTGACCATAAATTTATCAGTCTGTTCCTACCCTTTTTTCATGGCAATGCTGATAAGATGTGGATAAAAATTTCTTCTTCTCATCTTCCAATCATTTCTGACATGCTAGTTGAAATATTACCTAGATTTGCAAATAGTATATTCAGTAAACTTCAATCAATTTCAATTATTGGCTTAATATGATTTTTGTTTTAACAGTACCAAGAGGGCAGGAATTCCATCTGTCTTGTACCCTAAGGTATCCCCATTCTCTAACACAATAACTACAGGGTTTGAAATCTATCGTCATCCCTGATCTAAGGTAGCTTCACTATCTTAAAGTGGCTATTACAGAAAACAGCGGTGATAACTTAAAAAATAAACAAGTAAACAAAAGCCCCACAGGTTGATTAGCCTACTTCTGTTTGCACCTCAGTTGAAGTAACTCTCCAAAACAAAGATGTTGAAACTATGTCAAAGTATAAAATAGCCAATGATAGAGCATCCAAAATTATCAGTGTCATCTGAGATTCTAAAACTTATTAAAATTTGAGCAATGAATACATTTATTGGACTGGGGATATTTCAGTCTCATCATTTGCAATCATCTGTCAAAAGTCCTTACTAATAAACTTTCAGTTTCATTTCCTTTATATCACATCAAGCACAAAACCATTAAAGTGTATACTTAAGAAAATTTGGGTGCTGAAAAATTCCTAGACATTTTGGGGCAAAATTATCAAGATACGTGTAAAAATCTCATTTCTTGGTTATTGTTTTTAATATCTACATGAAAGGTTCTCTGGCAGCGTAGTGGCTAAGACACTTGCCTGCTAACCAGACGGCTGGTGGTTCAAACCCACCAGCCACTCCTCGGAAGGAAGGTTGGGCAATCCTACTTCCGTAGTGATACTGCCTCGGAAACCCAAGGAGGGGTCGCTATGAGTCGGGGCTGACTCGACGGCACATAACAACAACAACAACAACAACGAAAGGTGAAGTTTATTCTCAGTTTTGAATCTCTGAAATTAGAAATGACTTTTAAATGAAGTTGTTAGTAAGATCTTAAAGTTGTCCTTTGAAATGAGGATTTACGGGCAAGCATAAAGATCAATTTAAAACAAAATTGTGGCTTAAAATTGGGTTTGGGTGGGATGAAATGGGGTTCTTTTAGGTTGCTTCCTTTTGATACTGTATAGGTAATATCTACTCCAGACAGCCTTCTCTCACAGAAGACTAAAGCATATTTTGTGGATTGATGGTTTCTGGCATGGATGCGATTTCTAATAAACATATTTTTTTCCTTCACCAACCATTATGACTATGTAATGGTGAGGTAACAAAAGCAATCTCACATTGAAAGAACCTATGGAAGTTACAAGTAGAACACTTTCCCTCTGCTTTCAGACCAGTCTAAATACTGGAGGGCTATTTATATATGACTGGCACTTATTTTTGCCTAGAAGTATGATTAAGGGTAATTAAAATTCCCAAAACAAGGATATAGATCACAGATCAGAAATGGAATGTTTACTCTGTGAACCTGAAATGAACTTTGGATCTTTTTTATCCTTCCCACAATACAGCTGTGGTTAATTGTCAACAACTCTTGGACTCACATCCTTGGAGAACCACTCTCTACTCCCCTATTCCTCCACAAACATGTCCACATAGGAAGACAGCCAAACTTCCAAATATACACGTTTTATTTGTAAACCCACATTTTTTAGTTCAGAGAAACTATATTCTGTAGACTTTTCTTTCTCCTGTACAGTATTTAGACTGGCCAAAAACCAGGGATAATGTTCTTGAACTGTAGCCATGGTAAAATTTTATTTAATACTTACAAAACCACCGACACATCAAATTCCTGCAATAAGCTTCAGCATGAAGTGTAATCACTACATTTAGTTTCAAAGTTCAAATGCCAGTTCCTATTGCAGATAAGCACATTCGCACATATCAAAGCAGTTACTGTTGTGGTTACCAGCAAAGTAAAGTCTGGTGGGGTAATAGCCTCTCCCAGAGGGGTGGTGATGTCAGCTCCGTACTTCTCTTAGCTCTTTGAACAGGATAAGACCACTCTGCCTAACTGTCCTTGGGACTCTGTCTAATTTCTCTGATGGCACATTTAACAGTTGCCTTCTTCCCCATAAGGTTTGCTCTCTTTCCTGATTCTTGGAAATATCTGAAGTGTCACCTGGTTCTCTGCTCTGCCTAGAATGAAGTGATGAGCATGAAATTTTCTATGGAAATTAATGACCTTATTTAAGAAGCATTGAGCTGAGGCACAACAGTAAACTCAGGGATAAATAAAGGTTTCACTTTGCATTTGAAGAGCAAAGTATAGCCTTAATTGGAGATAATAAAGACATTTCCATAGACAGTCATGGAAATTTAACATTCAATATGTGGATAAGCCACGTTTTAAATTCATGAAATAGTGATAGGAGAGGTCACTTTCAAGAAAGGAAAGGAAAAGAAATACTACTCTATAACAGCAACTGAAAATAAAAGTTAAGTAGAAGCAGATAAAACACTCCTATATAAATGCTACCAAAAAAAAAAAAAAACCACTGCCATTGAGTCAGTTCCAACTCACAGCGACCCTTTCTTGGGTTTCCGAGGTGGCATCTCTATGGAAGTAGGTTGCCCAATCTTCCTTCTGAGGAGTGGCTAGTGAGTTTGAACTGCCAGCCTTCTGGGCAGCAGTCAAATGCCTTAGGCACTATGCTACACTGCCTCCTTAAAGGAGGGTAAAGCACCCTGTCCTTTAAAGAGGCAACCTAGCATTTATGTTCTGACACTTCTTCTAAGAGATTATTATAACAAAGCAAGAAAAATAAAGTAACTGTACAAACTGTACACCATAAGTTCAACATGTGAAATATGTAGAAAATGAGAAGTAGCAGTAAATGGGAAAATGCCAAAAATATATTCATTCCAGAGATGTTAGAATGTCCCTTCCCTACCTTGTTCACCTGAAAATCTCCAATTCATTCTTTGAGTCTTAGCCCACATACCACCACCTCTGGAAAGTCACCGCTGTTACTGCCAAGCAACAGCAAACATCTCCTTTGTGCTCCCTGGCATTTGCCCCAGGCTCCATTGTAACTTTCACCACTCTCCAGGTATCATTTACATTCCTGCCACCCTCTCCGAGGCTGGAAGCCCCTAGAGGGCAGGCTCTATAACCTATTCATCTTTGTACCTTTGGTGTATAACAAATGGAAGGGTATCTATCTACCCATTTACTTAAGCTTTGCCAAGATATTCTATCACATCAACTTGATGGCAACTGATAACAAGATGTTTTAAGTAGAGTCAAGCATGTCTGCACGTGCTTTAAAGAATATATGTGAACAACAGAAGTAAAGTGATGGCAACGTGTTCTCCAAATCTATGGAACTTCAACATGAACAGCTCAACACAGAGCAGCTCTGATGCTGGTAGGGTCATTTTTGTGCACAGAAGAAAATGTTCCTAACAGCTCAATGAAAAATACCACCGTGTATGTGCTGACAAGTTCTCTGAGGTTTCACTAAAAAACACACATTTTAAATAGTCTAAAATAATCACTTCTGAGCTATTTTCAAACTATGCAGATTGCCAGTGAGCAGCATGGAAATATCCCCCACTACCTTATTTTGTGTGTGTATGTATAAAAATAGAATATCAGATAGATCTATTCAATTCATAAATCATCCCTCAAAATTTAATGTGTCAGAGCTGTTCAAATTGAAGAAACTCAATCACAATACAAAATAACACAGAAATGTTGTGCTCCCATTAACTTTTTCACTAAAAGATGTGAAAATACAAGTTAAAAGGAGTCCAGGATCATTTTAAAATTCTTGTGAAGATACTACTGTAACATGAACTATTCCAATCTTATTCATTAGTCTGCTGTTTGCCAGCTCCACCAAAGTTTATTAACAGTAAGACTCAAATATCTGCTTGTCCAGAGAATGTTCACACCAACTTCTCTCTGAGAGAAGTAGAAGAGCAGTTTTAGGTACGGTCTGTCTTTATTCCAGAAAACTTGAACAAGGCATACAATTCTTACACATTCAGATCTGTGCGAGACTCAACAGGAACGCTCTCTTACTGCTGAGCAGAGTCCACAAGTTTCCCTGAGGTGTTCATATCACAGAGGATTCCCAGTTCTAATTCTGGTTGACAGTTTCCAAACAATGTAACAGTATGAACAGAGGACTGTATAAAATATAAAATTCTTTCAAAAAAGATTTAGGGCTTGTTTTCAGAATAATAATAATAATAATAAAAAAATCAGTCTTCTTGCTTGAAACTTGGTAAATATGTTTTTAACTTTAAAATGTCTGAAACTGGCTCTTTTCTTTCTTGATAGAAGCTGAGTCCAGTGATGTGTTCAACGTCTGTGATCCGGGCTCTGTGTAACTTCAACAACTCTTCAACCCATGAGGATTCATGCCTCCCATGCTGTGAGAATGGGAGATAAAAAAGTTACCAGAGAACAATCAGTGCCAAGCTCTTCACCTCCCCACTTTAAGTAATCAGCTATGATATGCTGGCTCCTAGGTGGCAGTGAACAGATTAAGCACAGTCCCGGCTCTTGGGCAGATCACTATCTAATATACCCCACATATGTTTTCTTAATTAGGTGTAACAAATATTGGTCAAGGAGAGATGACGTAGTATGTTCAGAACAGATGACACGTTGACAATATGAGGTTTAAAAATGTTGAAACGCAGAAGCCACATATCATGGTAGAAAGAATATGGGAATTAGCATGAAGAAATGTGGATTCAAGTCTGGGTTCTACCACTATGTTACTAGATAAACTGGGACAAGTTATTTAACATATGAATCTCAAATCCCTGACCTGAAATGTTTTAGGGCTGTTTTGAGGATTAAATGGAATAGTAAGTGCAAATGTTCTATACAAATACTAGTTCTTATCAGAATGAGTAATCTACTAAGTTGCATAAAGAATGGGTTTGGGGAAGTGGTAAAACACAATTTCTTATCTGGCAAGGTAGTAAAGTCTTAGATGATTTGAGATCAGAAAGGAATTAAAGGCAGATACTCTGGCAAATTCAAGTTGAAGCAGATAAGAGGGATGGAAATCATACATCCATGTGGTTATATATATATATATTTCTGAAAAAGGACACTGGAGAAGGTTAGATGAAGAAAGTATACACCAGGTGGTAGGCTATGACTGTAGTTTAAAGACATACTTCAGTAAAGGTTCAGGGTCCCTTGGAACATTATTAGTTGAAAATGATGAATATAGACTTTTCATAC